AAACAGAAAAGCCAGACACCTATGACACCAGAGAAAAGTCTGTGAGAATGGAGTCCTTCCCCGAACCCAGAGAACCCACTCCTGAGTCTCTCTCTAACCTTCTTCCACTCTGGAGCAGGTGTTAATCCCAATGGCAAGAGGACCACTACCACATTTTGAGCCAAATTTGAAGCAAGTCTGGTTTTTATTGGGATGCACCCAAAAGTTGGCCAGTGACTGCCTCTTAAATCAGGTTAAAGAAAGCAGCCCCAATCCATTTCTTGGGCCTCTTCTAAACAGTAAAATCACAAGTACTTTTACAGAAGAGAGACATGGGGCAATAAGGAAACACAGAAAAAAAACTCAAAAAAACATCATGTGGTTACCCCCATGTGATTAGGGAGGGGACAGGGAGGGTAAGGATAGTCTCAAAAACAAGTCAAGGTCACGGGTCTAGGAAGGTCTCGTTCCAGGACCAGAGAGCAACTGAGTTCTTACAGTAAATAGAAACTTATTTTTAACAATACAGCATAATGGCTCCTGCCGTCAAGGGATGGAGTCAGGCAGATTCCTCCTGGGTACCTGGCTTTCCTTTTCATTCTTAGGAATTTCATGCTTTCACTTTTGCCATTCTGTGCCTTGTTCAGTTCATGGTTTGAATCACAAAGATGCTGGACATAAAATCACAGAACCCCAGAACCAGCCCCCACCCCACCCCACCCCCACCCCACCCCACCCCCTGCAACACACTGGCCTCACTTAGCTGGGGCGGAAGGAGTTCCCCAGGCTGGGCCCACAGGTCTCAGGACCACACCGGAGAAGTCTCTCCCCTGCTGGGGACCCTCCCTGATGGGGACCCTCCCTGATGGGGATCTTCCTCTACTAGGGACCCTCCCCTGCTGGGGACAGTCAGTACAAATCCCTCTCTGGAGGCCTAGGATGGGCAAATTAAAGGAAGGGTGTGGTTTCAGCTCACTGACTTCCAAACACCTTCCCAGCAGCAGAGATGTTTTCTAAGTAGACAAAAGCCTCAAGGGGAAGCCAGACTGCCTTCCCCACAGTCCAGGAACCAGGTAATTCAGAGACTCATTGCTGACATACCCGCTAAGAAGCTGATTAATGAAAAATTGAGCCCAGAGGTATCTGGCTGGATGGGTATGCAGCGGCTTTGTTTTCGTTTTGTCTTTAAGAATGTTAGTACCTTCCCCACCAAGGTTATTCCTGTTATAAAACTCTAGGTCTGATGGAGACTGAGTGGTGATGCCTCCTCTAATCCATCCCTTGAGCCTCTGCCCACACCCCATGCACGCACCTCTCCAAACATCAGAACACATAAAATGCTTCAGAAATTCCTGCCAATCTAATGGTCGATTCTGTTTGAAATTGGCTCTCCCTGCTGTGGTCCAGTGTTCATCAGGGGCCCCAGACACTTGCAAAGACCGAATGTTTGAGCCAGAAAAGATCTTAGAAATTCCTCCGTGGAGCCGGCTGGGCTGATATGCACCAACGATCCCAGCACTCCAGAGGGAGAAGCAGGAAGATCAAATGCTTAAGGTTATCCTCGGCTATGTTTGAGGTTAGCCTGAGCTACATGAGACCCTGTCAAACAGAAAGGAAGAAAAGGGGGAAGGGCAGGAGGCAGGCTGAAGAGACAGCCCAGCAGTTAAGAGCATCTGCTCTTGCAGAGGACCTCAGTTCAGTTCCCAGCCCAGACATCAGGTGGATCACAATTGCCTAAAGCTCCAGTTCCAGAGGATCCAATGCCCTCTTGGCCTCTGCAGGTACCTTCACATGTGGGGTGCATGTGCATATACTGAGGTGCACACACACACACACACACACACACACACACACACACACACACACTCATAATAATAAATAAATAAATCTAGAAAGAAAGCATGAAAAACGTTCGTGCTGCCTCCTGGTTTTGCAGGAGAGGAAGGGAAGGCCTGCTCCAAGCAGGTCGTGGGTTAGAGGAAAAAGCCCAGCCAGGACCCATTGGGCTGGCTCCCACCAGTCAGGCAGGGTGCTGCTCCAGGAACTCTTTGCTACAGGACAGGAAGTTGGGAAGCCTCACTAGTTCAGGGAAGCAGAAGCCCCAGAGTGGATGAGTGGGCCCCACTCTGTACTGTCACAGCATCTGGGGCCTCCGTCAGAGCTCAGCAAGCCGATTTAGGATTAGGACAGTCTCTTGTCCCAGAGGAAGAGAGAGAAAGGAGTTGATCCAGGCTGAGGTCCTGCAGTGTGCTCAGAGGCTTCGCCTCCTTGAGGATTCACAGTTAATCTGAGGTGGTGTGTGCATGTGTGTTTTATAGATAAGTAAATGAGAACTTGAAGGTTTGTTCCCGATCACACATAAATCAATAGCTGAGCTGGGTTTCTGGAACAGGTCACCCGGTGCCCAGTTTACAGCCTGCCCTGCTTCTGGCTCAAGAGATGCAGGAAAGGTAAAATCTAGAGTTCCTTCAGCCAGACCCAGGACCAGAGATTTAACTCACTGAATAAGAGGATTGCTGCTTATACTGACAAAAGAAAGGCTGTACCACGCACGCCACAGACTATGATAGGAAAGAGACTGGCGGTGGAGAAGGAGCCACCCCGAAAGCACACAACAGAAAGACTGCTCTATTTGGAGGCCTGCAGCAGGGAGTGGGCTGGGCATTACCCAGAGCATGGGCAGGACCGGGAGGCCACAGGGTCTGGGGTGGCAGGGGAGCCACTTTTAGTGTGGTTTCCCCAAGTGTGCTGCTCATTGTGTAAACGAGAGTAGTGTAGTCCAAGGAGGTAAGTGTGAGAAGCTGTGCAGGACATTTTCAATTATGCGGTCCCTGCCATGTGAATGAGGACCATGCTAATCAGGGCAGTTCTGACTGGTCAATGAGACTCCAGACTGGAGTCTGGTCTGTGCGAGGCTCACAGGGTGGCAAGAGGTGAGGTTTTTTTCTGTTTGGATGATGTCTGAGACAGGTGTGTAGAAATTCTCTGGTGGGGACTGTCCCCTTTTCAGTCTCTTAATAATGAAATCCCCCTCTACCTCATGATGGTCCATAAATAAGATTGTCAACTGGACAGAATCTAGAATTACCTGGGAGATGGGCCTCTGGGCATGCCTGGGGGACATTATCTCTCTTGCCTTGAGGTGGGAAGACTCACCCATGCTGCGTGGCACCATCTGCCTGCTGAGGTCGTGGACTGTGTGGGTGGAGAAAGGGAGCTAGCCGGCATTCACCCGTGCCACATGGCCAGCTGCTCCAAGCTTCGGCTGCCTCGACTTCCCTGCCGTGACGGAGTGTAGGCTGAACTGTGAACTAAACCCCCTTCTCCTTTCGGTCGTCTTCGTCAGGGTGTCTGTCACAGCAACAGGAAAAGGAAGACATGCCTGAAGTAGCCCGCCTGCAGTTGACGGCTACAGTCCAACCATTAGAAGACTAACCAATCCACTTTTGACAAGAAGCAAAGAGGCTAACAGTTCAGGAAGAAAATACAGATGACCCACGGGCACATGGGGCAAGTGATCGATCAGTTTACCCCCAGGGAAAGCAACTAAAACCATTGTGATTATAGTGACAGAGCACTTCAGTAATTAAAAGGGGACTGGGCAGACTGCTCAGAAGTTAGGAGTACATACTGTTCCTACAGAGGACCTGAGGTTGGTTCCCAACACGCCCATCAGGTAACTCACAACAGCCCGCAACTCCAGCTCCCGGAGACCCAGCAACCTCCCCTGGCCTCTGTGGGCACTGCACTCATATGCACACACACACACACACACACACACACACACACACACACACACACACACACACATAAATTAAAGTAATAAAAATAAACCTTTAAAAACGAAGAAGGCCAACACCACCAAATGTTACTGAGGGCTGAGAGCAACTAGAACCCTCTCCCAGGGATGATGGGAATGAGAACGCTGTAGCCACTTTTGGAAAATAGCCTATGAGATTTTTATAGAACCAAATACGCATCAACCTATGACCCAAAAATTCCCTGAGGTGCTTGCCCAAGAGAAACGAAAATGCATAAGCCTCAAAAGGATTTGTCCAAAACCACTCAGCATTGAGCTTTTCTTAATAACCTCAAACTGGAAACAGTCCAAATTATTTTTTAGTGGCAGAACGGATGACAGATTGTAATACACGGACAACAGGCACCTCCCGACAATGCACAGGAAGAAACCACTGATGTAGTGTGGATGAGAGTCGAAGCTGCTCTGCTCAGCTGAAGCAGCCCTGCTCCAAGACAGATGTGCTGAGCGATTCCACTTGTGTGCCACTCTAGAATGGACACATCCTTGTGGTACCAAACACCAGAACAGTACTTACTGCCTGTAGTTTGTGTGGAATCAACTGAGAGGGAGCAGGAAGATGGTGTGCTTCGATAAGGACATGTGTTCTACCACTGTAGACGTGTGCCAGTGGCATGGAGTGCGTGCTTAGGGCTGGCATGCATCGCCATCCAAACTAACTCTAAATTTAGTATGTAAGAATGGAGTGGATTAATAGACAGATAAGGGTTAGACTGAGGGAAAGATTATGTAATCAAACAAATAGAGCAGGCTATTAATTATGAATCAAAATGGTGAGTGTCCACTGTACAACTTCTATGCTCTTTATAAATATTTGTAAAGTGATTTTGGGTAGAAAGACATGAAAAATACATAGGTCCACTGTGGTTTCACACATGGCTTCCAAGTCTCTCCACTTTCATAAGTCTCTAGGAAGTTCCACCTGTTTCCCCTCGCAGGTGACATTTCTGACATGAGATGAAACAGTGTTTCTCTGGATGCCTTTGCTTTTTCCAATTGGCAGCCACAGTAACCATCAAGTCCATGAAGGCAGGGCCATGTCCATTTCCTGGCACTAAGGCACAGTCACACACAGAACAGATGGCGGAGCTGTCCTTCTCCATTCTCTCAGCCATCGGATGACCAGCTGAGACATAATCTTTATTTCCTCTTCCTTTTCTCCTTTCTCCCCCCATCTTACTATTTTGTTTTTCCCCCACAGTGCCAATTCCGAACAAATACTCAGAACCCGCGTGTTGAATCCAAAATGAAAACAGCTTTAATGAATACGAACAGAAAACACAATGTATATCCCAAGATTATCCACTTTGCTGAATAAAAGCATTTCAATGAGAAAATTGTTGCTGCTCTTTAGATCGTGGACTGTTCCTAGTTGGGCCTTGGAAAAGCAGTGAAGAAGGGAAGAGGTGCTCTCTAAGTTCTCCTGCTCCTTTCCATTCAGAGGGCATCAGCATAATAAGGCTCACCTGCAGCTGGTAACCTTGCTGCTCTTTGTAGACGTGAAAATGTGGCCCAGAGAAGTAAAGAGACTCGCCTACAGTCACACAGCAATTTCACGACAGAGCAAACGTGAGTGGATTAACTCACTTCATGGGATATTTTCTGGCCATCCATTCATTCTCAGCACCCACATGCAGCACACACTGTGTGTAACCCCAGTTTTAAGGGATCCAACACCTTCTTCTGGCCTTCTTCAGCATTGGGCACACATGGCACATATACATATCTGCAGGAAAAACACTCATAACACACACACACACACACACACACACACACACACACACACACACTCACACACAGAAATTTAAAATCTTTAAAATCACATTATTCAATATGTTTATACTCTTTTCTGTTACTAAATTGCCGAATCCTCCAGTGTCAACTTTGTAGATGGCAGCATGATGTCACCGTGTCATACGGTTGAATACACCTGAGTCAGTCACTAGATCCCAGCCTGTCTCTGGAGAGATACGAACTCCTTCTTATGTCAAACACTCTCTTCTGATCCTCTGTTACAGCAACTTGACCTGTATTATTACCCAGACAGCCATGAAGTTCAGTTCATATTGGCTAAAAAGAGGCTGCTTCATGAGTACGTGTGTGCATGTGAGTGAGCATGTATGCATGTACATCTGGAGGCCAGATGTTGACATCAAGTGTCTTCCCCCTCTGCTCTCCACCTGATCTCTTGAGGCAGTCTCTCACTTCGCCCAGAACTTACCGATTGGCTAGACTGGCTGGCTCCAAGAGTCTGCTTGCCTTTACCCCACCCTCCCCATCCCAAGCTAGAGCTGCAGGCTTGTGCCTCCGTGCCCCGCTTGTATGTAGCCATAGGGATTCAAATTCAGTTCCTCCTGCTTGCAGAGCCATTTCCCCACCACTCAGGAGTCCACTGCTGTGATCAGGAGGCCCAACCACAGGTGAGTCCACCTCATCCTGACCCCTCAGCGCAGGTCAAGTCCTGTGGCTATTGTTGGAGTTTTCAAAGGCTGATGTATCACCCACCAGCCCCTCGCCCTGCCCTGAGGGCGGCATGGCTTTGCAGGGTGAAATGAAGACCTCACAGGTTCTGATTCTGGACAGCAGGAAGCCTCGCTTGTGATCAACAGCAGGCTTTGCAAGGCACAGACATCACAGGGAAGGCTGGACTACTGAGCCGCAGGAAGGCAGCGAGGCAGGGGCAATCTATACGGTGTGTGAGAAATGGACAGCTCCTATGGAGCACCCATAAATAAAGATGAGATTATTTTGCAGCAAGGAGGTTGGAGAAAAGCTGAATAAATATAAAGGAAAGCCCCTGTGAGGGAGATTGGATAGATCTGGGGTGTTCCGAAGTCTTCTCAGAAGACCTGGGTCTTTGCCAAAGCAGATGCTACCTCTAGGGTGGGGCCAAGACCACAGATCTTCAATTGAATTCGTCTCTAAACTCTGGAGTTTCCCAAAGTGGGGGTGCTGAACATTCTACATGACCCAGAGCTGCTGTGAGCAGGAATTATGTCTCTGCCATCTCTCCCCAAACTTTGAACACAATCAAGAGGATTTCCAAAACTACTCACTGAATACATGCAAAGACGAGTGAGTGAGAAGCGGACTTCTCAGAGGTTCCTGTGTTCTGATTTCAGTGCTCATCTGCCTCCTCTTTCTTTCTTTTTGGAGGGCTCCACAGCAAAATGACGATGCTGGAGCAGTAGCTTTAAGAAACATGTCTGCTGCCAGTGCCAGAGTCTTCTTGACTGTGAAACATCTTCAATAAACATCTGTCAAATTAATTAGTCAATCAACTCAATTTCCCAGTAAATTGGGACCAGTAGATACGTTTGCCCACGAGAAAGGCATTTATTAAAACAAACAAACAACTTATCTGTAAAACAAGAACTGAAGTCCCCAGAGGATGAGGACTACCTCCCTTCAAGATGAGGCTCTCTCAAACAGAAGCTTCCTGAAGAGAAGATGTGACCCCTCAGAGCAGGGCTTCTTGAGGACAGGCTGTTCTGCCCACCCCAGAGGAAGCCCACCCCCTTACATGAGCACGCTTGTCCCAGCAGCCACATCACACGTGTCCTCCTTCCGACATCTCCTTCTGCTGATGACAAAGCTCAGCCATGTCACATCCATGAGCGTTTGTCACATTAGATCCTGAATATGTTCAGTACTCATAAATACAGGGACAAAAAAAGTGGAAGAAAAAATAAGAATAGCGGGAAATAAAGGCCAATTGCGGCTAAGTTCACTCCAGCAGGGGCTCTCAGCCTGGAGGGAAAATTCTAATGCTTGCACAAAACTTCATGAATAATAATTTCTGAGAGGCTCAACATTTTAAACACTGTTTTTTTTTTCCTCGTCTCAGAAACACACCACTAGCTACTGTCTGTGGCAATGCAGAAGTGGATGCAAGGTGATTGCCTGTGGTTCCTGGGTAGAAGGAGGAGAATAGAGGCAAGTTTTGTGGGGGTGATGAGCAGAGGTGGGTGGGCTTCAGCAACAGTTCAGAGGAGACGCAGGAGACCCAGAAGGCCAGAAACTGAGGGCAGAAAGACCTCATCATCAACTAGAGGAGAGGCCTGACATGGACTGTGTCTTCTTCCTGAAGGCCCACAGAGCTCATGACCTCAGCCCTCACCAGCTATGGCATCTGGAACACAGAATGCTGTAGTGGGGCTGGGACACAAAGCCAGCTATTCGCCTCAAGGTTCACATCAAGTGTGAGAGTGGGAATTTAAACTCAAAGACATGGAACCTCCGGGTGTACGGTGAGATGAGTGGAGACTGTCCCCTCCCCAGGTGATTGGTGTGTGTGTATGTGTGTGTGTGTGTGTGTGTGTGTGTGTGTGTGTGTGTGTGTGTGTGTGCGTGCGCGCGCACATGCATTTGTGCACACACTCACGTATGCTTGCATGAGTGTGTGTTCATGTGGATACTTGTGTGGAATCCATGTATATTTGTGTACACTTGTGTGGAATCCATGTATATTTGTGTACACTTGTGTGGAATCCATGTATATTTGTGTACACTTGTGTGGAATCCATGTATATTTGTGTACACTTGTGTGGAATCCATGTATATTTGTGTACACTTGTGTGGAATCCATAGGTTGTCTTCATGTATCTTCCTTCATCTCTCCACCTTATTTTTTCTCACTGAACAGATTCAGAGAGGTTGGCAGGACAAGGAGTTCCAGGTAGCTTCTTGTGTGGGATTACACATACCCGATCACAGTACCCCAGCTTTTACATCGGTGTTAAAGATCCACACTCACATCCTCACGCTGGCATGGCAAACACTTTACCAAATAAGTCATCTCCCCAGCCTCCACGTTATCCTGTAGAGCGGTGGTTCTTAACCTTCCTAACACTGTGACCCTTTAATACAGTTCCTCGTGTTGTGCTGCCCCCAACCACAAAACTATTTTGTTGCTACTTCACAACTGTAACTTTTGCTACTGTTATAAATCATAATATAAATATCTGATTAAACAGGATATCTAATATGCCGTCCCCGTGAAAGGGTCGTTCAACTGCTAAAGGGTCACAACCCTCAGGTTGAGAACCACTGCTTTAGAGGGTCATTCACTTGCGTTCTCTTCCTAGTAGTTTTAAGGACTGGTGGGCAAACTGAAGAGCTCACGGGGAAGTTTCTGATGGTCTGGGTGGTCCTCCCTTTGAGCTCCTTTAGCATGTGGTTCACAGGAAGTTTCTGATGATCTGGGTGGTCCTCCCTTTGAGCTCCTTTAGCATGTGGTTCACAGGAAGTTTCTGATGGTCTGGGTGGTCCTCCCTTTGAGCTCCTTTAGCATGTGGTTCACAGGAAGTTTCTGATGATCTGGGTGGTCCTCCCTTTGAGCTCCTTTAGCATGTGGTTCACAGGAAGTTTCTGATGATCTGGGTGGTCCTCCGTCCGAGCTCCTTTAGCATGTGGTTCACAGGAAGTTTCTGATGGTCTGGGTGGTCCTCCCTTTGAGCTCCTTTAGCATGTGGTTCACAGGAAGTTTCTGATGATCTGGGTGGTCCTCCGTCCGAGCTCCTTTAGCATGTGGTTCACAGGAAGTTTCTGATGATCTGGGTGGTCCTCCCTTTGAGCTCCTTTAGCATGTGGTTCACAGGAAGTTTCTGATGATCTGGGTGGTCCTCCCTTTGAGCTCCTTTAGCATGTGGTTCACAGGAAGTTTCTGATGGTCTGGGTGGTCCTCCGTCTGAGCTCCTTATAGCATATGGTTAAGCCCAAGAAAGCGGAAGTCAAGGTGCTGCTATTTCCATTTCCTTTCATTTCATGTTAAGGAGACTGAGGCTCAGGGCCGCAAATGACTTGACCCCAATTTTTGGTCTTTAAAAGGTGAAGCAGAGAGAAAGGCCCCAGGTATCTGGATTCCAAGACAGCCCTCTCCAGGACACCTCACTGGCACCTCCAGGGTGATACACATAGCCGCTCAAGCTGTGTTCACTCTTGCCTCGCTCAAACCTATCCTACCCACAAGTCTCAGGGACCCTTGGTTATAATGGTGTCACTCTGGTCCATATATTGGCCTGAGTGTGGCTGCTTTAAGAAGGAGCATCTAGCCTCCTCCCTGAGAAGACACCCATTGTTTCTCATATATCCTCCACAGAATGCACACAGAAAGGAATGCACTCACACGAATCACACAGTGTCCTAGCAACGGTGGTTGACATGGATAGCCTCTTCCTCTTCGAAGGCCCTGGACTTGTCAACTATCAGAGCTTATTTTATCCTCCCAGCAACCCCATTAGAAGGGTGGTATTACCTTCACTCTCAGGGTCCATAACTGGGAGCTCAGGCATATGGAGGTTAAGTAACTTTCCCACAGTGACATAGAGAGGAAGCTTCCCTGACAGGGTATGAGCATTGGCCACTGTGCTCTGAGCCCTCACTCCTAAACCCCACACTAAACAGCCAGCTTTTTGTGTCTGTGGATTTAGTCCACTGTGAATCAAAAACACTGGAGAAAAAAGTCATGTCCACACTGAACACATACAGGCTTTTTCTTCATTATTCCCTAGACAGTCCAGGATGTCAGCAATTTGCGAAGCATTTACCTAGTATTAGGTATTGTAGATATCAGATAAAAAGCAGTGACTTAAAGTATTCAGGAGGGTGTGCATGGGCTACATGCAAATGCTGTCATTG